TCACATGAATCCCACAAAATGCACAAATATGGTAATAAAAAAGAACCTCAAAGCTATGATTATTTGCTACAACATGTTGGAGCAGGTCAGATGGCGGTTCCGCTGCAAGGAGAATCTCTCGAATAGAGTCCATAGAGATAAACCGGCTAAGCAGTGTCGAGGAGTCGCGAGAAAAGAAAGGAGTAAGACAGCAGACATCGTATATAGTCTCTTCAGTCTGCAAATATTCAACTATTCACTAGTGCTAAGTTCCTAGCATATTTCCTCTTAAAGCAATAACAACTATATGAAAGAAAACAACACCTACTAATTCGAGTACATTGCAGTAAAAAGCCACGAAGTTGTATAGCGTCATAAGTCTGATAGCAGTATGTTGGATATACTGAGTCTTCTGAATAAGAGTTCTGTAAAAAGACTTTACCCTTTGAAAGGGAAAAGTAATAAACACCGAATAGGATACTTACTTAATCAGCATAAGATCATGTATTGGTATGCAACGGCAAACTCGGATTTTCCCAACGGCTTCGGAAAGGAAAAACAAGGATGTGGGACTGGAGAGTTTAGATAACATGTTCAACACTGCCTCAACGAAAGATCCTAAATCAAAATGCTGTAATACTGTTCTTGCTACTTTTCGAACAAGCAAACTTTCGCACTTCTCTTGAACTGATTTAGTGATAATAATATCCCTTCCAGCAAACGTGTAAGCGACTCCAAAAAATGTGACAAGCTATTACGTTCAAGAAAGCGCCAAAAAGGATCATTTGAATTGAGATGTTCGGATATCACCAATAACAAGAACTGAAAGTCATGCATATCTGAATCGTTCATATAAGCAGTTTCGTCAGAACGATCGAATTAATGCGGAAAAGATGGGACTGCTGAAGCGTAGTTCCCAGATGACTAGTAACAACTTTTACATTTTAAATGAGCGGCAAACGTTCACCTCAGCGTTTGCAGCCATTGTAGGAGCCTCTACAGAGACGAGTTTTTCGAGTGCCCATGATCGCACCCATCCATTGGAATGAGCCAAGGCTCTGAAGAAAACAACAGATGCCCACTTGAAACTGAGCCTCCCTTTATATACAAAGGTAAGGATCTCGTCCATTCGCGGCAGAACGGGATTGATAATGTGAAACTAGAAAAAATAAACCCATGCATCTTTTCATATATAAGTTGGAAGCAGCACTTGTGCTAAAATTAAGAGAGTATGGGGTACCTGGGGTTCTTCTAAACACTGCGATAATGTAAAAAAGCTGCTCCAAATCGGCTCTTCATCATGCGTGAGTATACGGAGGCAAGCAAAAACGGCTTTTCTTCCAGAACGAGAACAGTTGGCATCTAAAAGAGTGATATTAAAATACGCTTTTTTCATAAATTGACACTAGACTACGATCCAATTCAATGTGATTGAAAATTCAGATGCATGCCACTTTTGAACAACAACTCTCCTCTCCTTTTACTCCAGTATATATTAGACAGATAGAAAGAAAAATACTTGGATTTTGGCTGATAATGATAGAGCAAGTAGATATCCAGCCATAAATATGCTTGCGCTTTACCTATTAAGATACAGTATGCCAAATCCATGAAACTCGGTTTGAGGCTGACAGGACATTTCTCGGCAAGGAAGACAAGTGCAGGGAGGGCACTTTCAAGTTCCTCCTCACTCAAAGTCTCAAATAAACTGAAGAAAAAAAACTCGTTAGGTTAACACAAGGTCAAGATGGTATAAACTCACACGAGCAAATCTGCGATTTCGTCCACGGACTGTGCTTTGTCGACAAGAGCCATGAAATAACTCCTAGATGAGTTCTCATGGCTTGTGCGAAGTTCATCCATTCCTTGATGCTGGCGCTTCCTACTTTGTCCAACAAGATGGTAATCAATTTTTTACTATGTAGTTAAATGATAAGAACATCCACAGGATATAAAACAATAATTGTGGAGAACAATCATTTCAGGTAGCTTTACACTGACCAATATCAACAACCAATCATGCCAAGAACTGAACAAAAACTAAAGATTTATTGAAAATATAACAAGTCAAGCGAAAGAGTGCGGTCGAATTGGCTTAAGAGGATCGAACAGTTTTGGATCTCTGGTATACTTTGGATCTTTCACAAAGATAGGCATGTAGCCCGCTTTCCTTGAAAGAGCTATAGTTTCAACAAGCTTCTTTTGCTGGTGATCACAAAGACCAGTGATGTGTCGATCATA